TGGATCTGAAATTCCGATTTCCTGAATTATCCCGCACCTGTTTCCTTCCACGATCCTGGTTACCCTTCACATATAAACTGTCACTTTGAGAAGATGACTCTCCAGATTTCAATTTCTGCTGGTTGTGAGCCAACAACGCTGAAGTAATCTCCTCAGTCTTGATCGTTTCTTTCCCATATGTAAGGGTAGTCACCATATGTTCGTAAGAAGGAGGTAACGAACACAGTAAAATCATCGCCTTGTCTTCATCTTCAATCTTGACTTCGAGTGAAGCCAAATCCGTGACAACCTGATTGAAGATATTCACATGTTGCCCTAAATCGGTCCCCTCCTGTATCTTCAGCTCGTATAACCTCTGCTTTAGATACAGTTTTGTCGTTAGGGTTTTTGACATGAACTGCGATTCCAATTTCTTCCAGATCTCATCCGCCGATTTGAGATGCATAACGTGATACATAACTTCATCTGCAAGGCACAACCGAATCGTCCCAGCCACCCGTTCCTGCAGATCTTGCCAATCATCGTCTTCCATCCCCTTTAGCTTTTCTGCACGCAGCCCTTTCTGAATTCCTTGCTGCGACAATAAATCTTTTACTCTCGTCTGCCATAATCCGAAATTGCCATGACCATTAAATTTCGAGACCTCGAATTTTGATCCTCCCGTCATCTCCGTCGCCCAATCAACCAGGCTCTGGTACCACTTGTTGAGTGAAGATGACAATATGGCACACGAATTAAAAAAAAAAAAACGAGAAAAGTAAACAACACAAGATTTACGTGGTTCGGCAATGTGCCTACGTCCACGGCGGTTGAGGGATCTTATATTATTCTCAATCGTATCAAATACATCAATACACCATGTATTTATACTAAAACCCTACAAGGTATAAATTTACTTAAATACCCTGTACCGTACCTGCCCTCTTCCTTTGTTAATATATGAGCCTTACCAACAAATCTCCACCTTGGCGAATATATCACCTCCTTAGGAGAACACAATAGCGAGCATCTCTGCGAGACACACCAAGCAGGCCGGGGGTACCATGCAACTCTAGCATGCAGAAACATTCAACAAATCCAAGCAATGCTTGAATTTGTCAGAAGTAACAGCCTGCCCTCGCTCCACTCCGCTCACTTCGCTCGGTCGCTCCGCTTCCCTCGCTACGTTCGCTCCGTTACGCTCGCAGGCATCAGCCTGCCCTCTTCCTTTGTCAATATATGAGCCATACCAACAATAAAACACATAATGAGCCTTATGGAAAAATTAAATACTTTATTATATTATTTTTTATTTGTGAGAGAAGATATTCATATATTTATTTATTCATGGTTTATGATTTCTTCTCATGTCATGAATTTGGAGTAACCTATCCACCCTATATATATAATTGTAAAATGCGATGAGCCTAAGTGGCATACTCTCACGCTTTGAAATCCTATGTGGCAAAAAATCGTGCTTCAGAGTGAGGCGTGGATATAAATTAATATTTTTTTATACAATAACAAGTAGGTTTGGATTTCATTTAATTTTTATATCATTTATATTTAATCCTAAATGATATCTTCCTTCTTTTATTCTATAATTACTTAGTATAAACTATTTTAAGTTTTCTTTTCCTACATTACAGTATATTAAATTTTATTTTCCTATTTAGTTCATCAGTTATTATAAATATTTGTTCTTCTTATTTTTAAGATTTTATAACTTCTTTCGTTTCTATTTTTAGTTTTTAATATGATATATCAAATTATTTATCTTTTAATGATCTTTTATTTGACATCCACATTATACATACAAAATATAAAACACTGACATATCTCCTTTAAAAATAAAATCTAAAATTCTTTATCAAATTAGATTAAAATATATAAAATAAATTATATTATATCTTGTAAAGAATTAAAAATTTATGTGTATTAACATAAAATAATATAGCTATTTTATTTAGAAAAAGAATAAACTAATAACGAACATCAAATTAGTATAAAAAAATATACTAAAAGTTTATGTCTCGACTAAAATAAAGTTTACACAAAAAAGTTATAATCGTGAAAAAAACGTAAATAAACATTATAATTAAAATTATAACAATAATTATTTTTTTTTATAAAGTTTTAAAATATTACACTCATACACATTATATTTTAGATTGTTGTATATTATAAAGTTGAAGATATTTTAAACAATATTAAATTAGTGTATTTGTGTGTGTGGTTAAAAAAATTATCATTTTAACAAATTCAATATATGATAAGCGTATTATTTTGGATACATATATATTTTTTTTTTTGCCAAAATGATAGATAATATTATTAATCAAGATGCCCAAATGTGTGAATACACTACAACCCCAACCGAATGGAAAAACCAACAGCCAACAGTTGAAAAAGTGGGATAACATGCCAGAAGACCGCCTAGAATCCCGACAGAATCCCGACACTAGAAAAACTAGAATAACAACGCTCGCACCTACAATAGATCTACTACACAAATAACAACGGGAACTACAAAAAAAAAAAAGATCCCATCAGGATAATACCCGAGTGTCCGATCTCAACAGAGAATAAGGGCCCGAGCACCATTCTTGTTCTTCGGTGAAGGTTAGCTCGTGCTATCTTTTTATCCTAGATATAACATGATATTTTAAGATTTATCATGTAGAGAAATCATGTTTTGCTCGGGTAGAAAGAGAGTTTCGGATTTTGAAGTTTAAAGCCTTAAGTTCGGACTTTTAGTAGCATGCATGTTTAGGCCGAGTTCTTGAGCTTAAAAATCCTTATAAATCATGAGTAATATGAGGTTAAAACAGGTTCTTAAAATAAGTAAGAGTGCTCGGTCATCTAGAAGTCAATTGTTTAGCTCATTTTTCACATCTGAGCCATTTTGATAATCATGCAAGCATAAGCCACTATATTAGCCTCCTTAACCATGATTTTTTATGTATACCACTCGACCATAGCCAATTGTGCATGTTTATGAAGTTGGTCCAGTATTCTTAGTGCCCGAACGTGCCTTAGCGTCCCAACCGGGCTACATGCATATTGACCCGAGGTCTCCTAGTGCTTCTTTGCATTTTAATGCCTTTTTCATTATAATACATTGATATAAGTTGCATGTCACTAGAAAAGTTGTCGGACGGCCAGGGAGGAGCCGGACGTGGCAGCTGCCGCGCACCCCGCGCACGCAGCTCCCGGCAGTTCTGATGAAGATGTGGTCATTGACCCTAGCGAGCCCGAGGACGAGTACTCAAATAACTTTGAGATTTGGCTTGAAAGCGGGCTAGAAGAGCCGCAAGACCAGGAGTATTTGCCTACTTATAGACGAGATTGGCCGAGAGGCTGTGGGAGAAGGCCTCGAGCACGCACCAAGAGGCGAAGGCTAGACATGCGAAGAAACGGTGTACAAAAAGTACATGCAAAGAGGAGGATTGGGACGATGCCGAGTGTAAGGTACCAGGAAAGATAGGCGAGTGGTGCAAGCCGTGTGCGAGGAAGCCACGTGCTTGGCGCATGGAGGTTCGAAAGAACGGCGCGCGAGGGGTGGAGGACGGGTGGTTAGCGCGCGTGGGCGACTGTTGCGGGATGGCAGGTGCATGCGGTGGGTGGCTGGACGCGTTGGTCGAACGCGGGGAAGCGTTGGGCGCACATGGGCGCGCGATAGGCGAGCGGGGCGCAGGGCGCTGGACGACCGCGCAAGCAGCACAGGGGCGAGCGGCGTGCGCAAAACCGTGTCTTTATTATTCATGCGAGTTTTATCATACAAACCGAGTTATTGAGGCTAAGACCCAAGCTAGTTCAAAATCGTGAGAGACAAGGGTAATTAACCAAGTCAATCGCACCTATCGCCGTGAAGGAGGCTGTGGCAACGTGTCTTTCGAAGCATACGAGTTGAGCGGAACACACGATCTTCATCGTTGGTGCTTTCGTTTTTTTTATATATATAAACATCCCAGTGTGGGATGGGGGGTTGAGGCTACACCCCTGACCTGTGAATATAATGGCCCATAGAGGGCCAAAAATTCAATGGTCTTCATCAATGTCGAAGATACATAGAAAAACATCAAAACAGAAAAACAGAAAGTACAAGGATCATAAAATATCCAATGTGGATCTAAAATCATGTTCTCATAAAAGGTCGTCCTGGTCGGAATGACTTGACGTGAGGTCCAAAACGACAAGTCTAGTCAGGATCAGGTGGTGGCGGTCATCCGAATATGAAGGATGGGTAATCAAGCTGGTCCATCGGACTGAGCGTCCGAATATGGAGGGGAATGTCCTCAGGATGAAGGATGCGTCTCTGGGGAATAGATGCGCTCGTGCTAGCAAGAAAATCAGCAGGCCGATTCCCCTCTCGGAATATGTGTGAGACCAGGTAATGGATCTAGCGGAAGGTGTCTCTGATGTGCATAAGGGGATGCTGGATCTTCCATGAGCCCTGGTGGCCAGATGTCAAAAGTGTGATGACAGCTGCACCATCCATCTCAATCCAGATATGGGAGGAGATCGAGGCAGCAATCTCAAGACCAATCTGGAGCGCCTGAATCTCTGCATCATAACTTGAGGAGGCCCAGAGTGGCCCATGGAAGGTAGAGATGAGTGCCCCACTATGATCCCTAATCAGGCCCCTTCCGGCAGCTCCGGTATGTCTGTCGAATGCGCCATCAGTATATAGCTTAACCCAAGGGGCCTTGGGTTTCAGCCATACAACGGTCCTGGGTCGTGGGTGCTGGACAGGAAAAGGAGGTGGTGGCCTCAAACGATGGGGCGGTGTGCAACCTGTCCAGTCTCTCGTCGTGACTCTACCTAGGGCAGTGATGAGAGAGTGGTGTCTGTCAACCTGCAAAATGATGTGAGCACAAGAAAATATAATATCCATATGCTTCGCGTTATTCCTTTATGTCTAGGTGGCCATAGGATCAGACATGGAATAAGGAAGCCCACGTGTCTACTATGTGTGCGGTGTGAGAAAAAATTCAGTAGCTCAAAAACACTGTTTGTAGTGGGTAGGGGTATATGAGTATATCTGGCATAGTGCTCCCACACTCTCCTCACAGTCTCACTCTCAAGGAAAAGAAGGGTGAAAGTCTCGATCTCAAAGGTACCGGTCTCAGCACAACAAAGGCAACGAGAGGCGAATGAGAACCCTCTCGCTTCCATCACAGTGTCAATGGGAATGCGTTGTAATAGAAGACGCCATTAAAAGACGAAAATGGTCGGGGTGAGAAGGTCGGTCCAGATGGCTCCGAAGAGGAGGTTAGGCCGGTTACCCAGCCTCACATCTCCCCAGGCCGATGACGTAGAGAATGCACCCGAAGATGTAAGTCTCCACCTCATGCCGTCCAAACTTCCCTCCAGGAATCTATCGGATCTGGTCAATCTCAAGTTTATTGAAACCCCACCCTCACCTAGAATATCCTCCATCTTATCTCTATCCTAAAATCCCCCCGTTAAAAGGTCCTTCACCTACATGAAAGGCAGGTGAGTGACTGGCCTATTACTCGAAAGGGGGGCCTCGCTGAACCACCACTCATCCCAGAAGCTAACCTCCCCAGAACACAAGGTCAAAAAAATGTGCTTTTGAGCAGGCCTTCCAACAATGGTGAGCCGTCTCCACTGTAGACTATCCCGAGCAGTTGGCTGTCACCCTGCAAGGGTGGGCAGCTCCAC